CTCCTAACCTCCTCCCTCCATGGAGGGATCCAATGGGGGAAGGAGGGGGTGGAGTCAGGGTGGGGGGGGTGAGCGCCAGGACAAAGAAGGAAATATCGGGACAGTCCTGATAAAATCGGGACGTCTGGTCACCCTATCCCTGATCCCCCTGGGCGTAGCCCAGCTCAGTGGTTCTCAGCCAGGGGTACGTTTACCCCTGGGAGTACGCAGAGCTCTTCCAGAGGGTCCATTAACTCATCGAGATATTTGCCTAGTTTTACAACAGGCTACATGAAAAGCACTAGCGAAGTCAGTACAAACTCAAATCTCATACAGACAATGACGTGTTTATCCTGCTCTGTGTACTACACACTGACATGTAGGTGCAATGTTTATATTCCAATGGATTTTCTAATTGCAGGGTAAAAAGGAGAAAGTCAGCAATATTTCAGTACTAGTGTGCTGCGACACCGTTGTATTTTGATGTCTCATTTTGTAAGCAAGTAGATGTGAAGTGAGGTGAAACGTGGGGGTACACCATACAGATCAGACTCCTGAAAGGGGTGCAGTAGTCTGGAAAGGTGGAGAGCCACTAGTGCAGCCCACTCACCCAGAACCACTCCCCGAGCCCTGCCTTGGGGAGGCAAGACCCCACGGCACACCCCACCAGGGCTCCTCGCCGCCCACCTGCCATGCCCGGGCATAGACTTGTGGCATGTCTAGACTACAAGTGCTACCGTGGCACTGCGGCTGCTTCGCTACTATAGCGTAGCAGCCACTTGCTACGGAGACAGAAGGGGTTTGGCCATCGCTGTAGTTAGTCCGCCTCCTTGAGAGACAGTAGCAAGGTCAAGGGACCTCCCAGCGTCTACCTCAGGGCTTAGGTTGGTTTTAACTACGTCTCTCAGAATTGCACTAACCCAGCCCTGCCCGACCTGTGCTGTAACCACCCCCGTCCCTGCCCAAGATGAGGCCTCTATTACTCCCTGAAAGCATTTGGTCTCCAACTTGTGAAGCTGTTTGTTGCTGGTGCATTAGCCACTCCCAGCATTCGGGGTGTCTCCTGTTTGTGAATCTGTCCCTGGTACCTGCTGGAGCCCTGGGCTGAGTCTGTCTCTGTCCCTGCTCTCCACAGAAGCCGCTGTCTGGCGGCAGTACGTCATCCATGTGCAGCACTGTGGATTACAAGGCGCCAGAGCTGGAGGCGGAGGAGGCTGCAGACGAGGCTGCCGATGGCCAGGGGCCTGAGGAGTGCTTCACCGAGGGTAAGGGAGCCACGCAGTGACCCTGTAGAGAGAGACACCAGGGGAGCAGGAGGGTGGAGGGTTACCCCGTCCTGGTACGGTCCCAGAGCACCAGCTGTGCCTGCAAAACACAGCACAACTGCCCTGAAACCAACAGAGAATGGGCCAAGAGTAGAGAACTAGCCCTGCGGTGATAGACCCCAGGAGCTCAATCTAGTTAGATTAACAAAGGGACAGTTAAGGGGTGACTTGATCACTGTCTATAAGTACCTACCTAGGGAACAAATATTTAATCATGGGCTCTTCAATGTAGCAGAGAAAGGTCTAACATGGTCAGATCCCACCCCAAACTCACAGAGCCCCCATGGAATCCCAACCCCTCTGGTTCCCAACACCCATAGGATCCCATCCCAAACTCACAGCCCCCATGGATCCCATCCCCCCTGGGATCACACCCCAAACTCACAAAGCCCCCATGGAATCCCAACCCCTCTGGTTTCCAACACCCATGGGATTCCATCCCAAATTCACACAGCCCTCCAGGGATCCCAACCCCCCTGGGATCCCACCCCCCTCCAGGAATCCCACCCCAAACTCATGCAGTGCCACACCAGATCCCACCCCAGAACTCACATGGCAACTCACAAGCACAATGCTTCCCAGGCTGAGACAGGCCCCTGGCCCAAAGGGCACCAGCCCCCTCCATTGATAGTTTTCCCAGGGGTGGAGGGTGCAGCATGGCCAGCGCTAGCCAGGGTTGGTGGTGGGAGGCAGTGGCCCTGCAGTGGGTCAGGAATTGTACATGGACCAGGTCAAAGAAAAACGTTGGGGAAGGCAAGGCCTGGAGGGGGAAAGGCAAAGGGGAAGCGGGGGGAGGGGCTGTTGTGGGGGACAGAGAAAGAAAGAGGGAAGAAAAGGAGGGGCTGGTGTTAAGGAGCAGAAAAGAGAGGCATGAGAGGGAGTGGAGTGAGGAAAGAACTGGTGTTAGGGGGGGGTGGGGGCACGTAGAGGATGGGTCAGAGGGGCTGGTGCAGGGGAGGGGTGGGGGGCGGGGACTGGTGGAGGGGAGGGGAGGGGCGGGGGGCCAGTGCAGGGAAGGGGTCAAGGGGGCTGGTGCAGGGGAGGGGTGGAGGGCAGGGGCCGGTGGAGGGGAGCAGCAGGGAGCTGATAGGGTGTATGGTTTTGGACCGTATGCCCCAGAGGAGGTGCTCCCCCAGGCGAGGGCAGGCGGCAATGCCACAGCGTCCTGACACAGGTGAGCAGCTTTACACCCTGGCCTAGTCCGTCCCTCTGGGCAGGTTCCTGGCAGATGAGTCGAATTCACCTGTCTCCAGGCTGGACCGGCTCTGCCCATCCAGGCCCAGCTTGCCCTGGTGAGTGCCCTGGCAGAGCAGCACCCGGCTGGCTCGCTGCACCGGAAGACGACTCTGACACCTGCAGCTCCCCAGAGGGGGTGCTGGCCCTGCGTCTGCGTGTGCCATGCCGTGGCTCAGGCGCTAACAGGTGCCTCTCTGCACCCCCCTCCCAGCCTGCGTGCGGCGCTTTCCTTTCCTCTACGTCGACATCACAACCGACAAGGGGAAGATCTGGTGGAACCTTCGGAAAGCCTGTTTCAAGATCGTCGAGCACAACTGGTTCGAGACCTTTATCATCTTCATGATCCTGCTCAGTAGCGGAGCGCTGGTGAGTCACAGGTTTCAGTCCCTCACCGAAGCCCCCATGTGCCCTGCACCGAGCCCCCTGGATTGTGGGGCCCCGGAATGGCACTCTGCATGCAGGCTTTGTGGCAGCACCAGATACTCCCTAAAAGGAGGTGAATTGGATATTAAGCTAAAGGATCAGCATTCAGTGCTTTGGGCACCTGGCCAGGTGAGGGAGGCAGTTTGGGGCTGTGGGCTAAGCACCACAACTGGGGATGTTTTGCTTTGATCAGTGGCAAAATACTTAATGTTGAACAGTAAAATGCCATCAGTAGGTTTCAGGCCAGTAAACCTAACTCAGTACAGGGCAAACTGGTTGAAACTATAGTAAAGAACAAAATTATCAGACACACAGATGAACACGATCTGTTGGGGAAGAGTCAACATGGTTTTTGTAAAGGGAAATCATGCCCCACCAATCTCCTAGAATTCTTTGAGGGGGTCAACAAACATGTGGACAAGGGGGATCTAGTAGACATAGAGTACTTAGATTTTCAGAAAGTCTTTGACAAGGTCCCTCACCAAAGGCTCTCATGTAAAGTAAGCTGTCATAGGATAAGAGGGAAGGTTCTCTCATAGATTGGTAACCGGTTAAAAGGTAGGGAACAAAGAGTAGGTCAGTTTTCAGAATGGAGAGAGGTAAATAGTGATGTCCCCCAGGGGTCTGTTCTGGGACCAGTCCTATTCAACATATTCATAAATGATCTGGAAAAAGGGGTAAACAGTGAGGTGGCAAAATTTGCAGATGATACAAAATTATTCAAGATAGTTAAGTCCCAGGCAGACTGTAAAGAGCTACAAAAGGATCTCACAAAACTGGGCGACTGGGCAACAAAATGGCAGATGAAATTTAATGTTGATAAATGCAAAGTAATGCGCGTTGGAAAACATAATTCCAACTATACATGTAAAATGATGGGGTCTAAATTAATTGTTACCACTCAAGAGAGAGATCTTAGAGTCATTGTGGATAGTTCTCTGAATACATCCACTCAATGCATCAGTCAAAACATCAGTCAAAAAAGCGAACAGAATGTTGGGAATCATTAAGAAAGATATAGATAATAAGACAGAAAATATCATATTGCCTCTCTATAAATCCATGGTACGCCCACACCTTGAATACTGCGTGCAGATGTGGTCGCCCCATCTCAAAAAAAGATATATTGGAATTGGAAAAGGTTCAGAAAAGGGAAACAAAAATGATTAGTGGTATGGAACGGCTTCCGTATGAGGAGAGATTAATAAAACTGGGACTTTTCATCTTGGAAAAGAGACGACTAAGGGAGGATATGATAGAAGTATATAAAATCATGACTGATGTAGAGAAAGTAAATAAGGAAGTGTTATTTACTCCTTCTCATAACACAAGAACTAGGGATCACCAAATGAAATGAATAGGCAGCAGGTTTAAAACAAACAAAAGGAAGTATTTTTTCACACAATGCACAGTTAACCTGTGGAACTCCTTGCCAGAGGATGTTGTGAAGGCCAAGACTATAACAGGGTTCAAAAAAGAACTAGATAAATTCATGGAGGATAGATCCATCAATGGCTATTAGCCAGGATGGGCAGGGAGAGTGTCCCTAGCCTCTGTTTGCCAGAAGCTGGGAATGGGCGACAGGGGATGGATCACTTGATGATTACCTGTTCTGTTCATTCCCTCTGAGGCATCTGGCATTGGCCGCTGTTGGAAGACAGGACACTGGGCTAGATGGACCTTTGGTCTGACCCAGTGTGGCCATTCTTATGTTCTTATGTTCAGTATTAATGATTCATTTAGATGAATAAATGAGATTGTTCACAACTCCCGCCCACTCCGGGAAACTTCATTTCATTTGTTCCCATTTGGAAGGGATTTCTATAATTCCCAAAGATTTGCAAACTAGAGTATAAAAGCCTCGAATGGCCCCAAAATTGGCCATTCCTAGGGACTCCCAATGCTCTGGGAAACACCCTTCCTCCCCACTGTGCCAGGGCCCTGCTCTTTGAAAGAGGGTGTCAGAGCCAAATCACAGCTTTTGCAGATCCGTCCCCCTCGCATGTCTTAGATGACTGTGGGTCTGCTCGGGTGGCCGGGCTGCAGGGCGTATAGTCCATTCTCCCTTGGCAAATACCACCCACTCTTCGACATTGCCAGAGAACTTTTTCGTAATGGTGGCTTGATTTTACGGGGATGGTTTTATCACTTTTCATCAGCTCTGTGGCCCTGGCTGTCAGGGGACACTCATTAGACAAGATTATTGTATTAGCATTAGCAGCTGGTTATTGCTTTGCTATCCTAGTGCTTGAGTGATGGTTTGAAGTTGGTCAGACAGTAAGTCATGGATCAGCTTGGTTTTGGTTCCCCTTTAAATATTTGGACTGAATACATCTGGGCTGCAAAAATCAGACCTTGTTTACATTCCTGAGACCTTCCTCCCTGCAACTCTGGGGGTAACATTTTCATATGTGTCTAAGTGACTTAGGGGCCTGAGTCCAATTTTCAGAAGTGGTTTAAGCACTTAGGAGTGCCACTGTCAATGCACATAGGCTCCAAGGCCTCAGAATGTCAGAGGTATTTAGGTGCCTAAAGATGCAAATAGGCACTCAGTGGGATTTTCAAATTGCCTCTGCGCCTATCTCCCATTGATTTCATTGGCACCTTTGGGTGCCCAACTACCTTTCAAAATCCGGCACTAAGTGTCTGTCACTTTTTAAAATGGGCTCTAGGCTCCTAAGTCACTGAAGTGCTTTGGAAATTTTTGCCCTTTAAAACCACCAGAACCCTTTAAATGTAGCAAAAGGAGAAAGGCCTCAGTCCGGCTGCTGCTCTCCTGTCCCACTGTAGCCGTGAATTCCTCTGCTTGGAGCCCATCTCACGGAAGCCCGACTCATCTAGCTCTGCGTCTCTTCTAGGCTTTCGAAGACATCTACATTGAGCAGCGGAAGGTGATCCGCACAATCCTGGAGTACGCTGACAAGGTCTTCTCCTTCGTGTTTGTCCTCGAGATGCTACTCAAGTGGGTGGCCTATGGTTTCAAGGTGTATTTCACCAACGCCTGGTGCTGGCTCGATTTTCTCATCGTGGATGTAAGTTGCTGCTCGAGCAATGGAGCAGGAAAGAGCATCTCCATGATTTGGAGCTTCACATTAGCAATCAGCAGATATTTCTGCAGCAAAGGGCAAAGGGACAGCTCTGGGGCACGGGAAATGTAGCAATCTCTGGGTCAAGAGCCATTTGGGTCTGTGAATGCAGAATCTCTGCTCCATGCAGGCTCTAAAAGAGGCCGCAGCCCAGGCTGCTCCCACACTGAGTGGGATGGGGGCCTGGGCTTGATGGGGTGCTCCCAGCAGCGTTCCATGGTGCAGTTTTACAATGTGGTTCCAGCACATAGTGCTCTGACATGGCCCAGATCCATGTTTGGGGACCTGGCTGTGGGACAGGCGTCCAGAGAGCAGGCAAATGCAGAGTGGAGGCTATAGGGAGCACTGAAAACCGTTCCATTCGAAAAGGCCTTTCCACCCTAAGAGTGACACTCACAACATTGACTTCTCCTTTTACCCCAACACTGCTCCCCTTGCACCCCCAAACCCCAGCACTGACCCCCTCTTCTCCCCCCAAACCCCAGCACTGACTGCCCCTTGCACCCCCAACCCCAGCACTGACCCCCTTCTCCCCCAACCCCAGCACTGACCCCC